AATGATTTACTGTCTTTTACACAAGGAGGATATATTAGCCATGGACCTAATCAGCCTCAGACAACAGGAAGCCCTTCCAGATCCTGCAGCGAAACCCTAATGCAGACATCTTCAGTCCTGTCAGAAGTCACATTCCAGACATGAGTGTCAGCAATGGGGGTGATCTAGTATGAAGGAAGCCATAGGAATTCGATGGGAAGGCACCATGGGAAGCATATAGAGCACAATTTGAGCTCCTGACAGAAATGAATGGATGGACAGAGGAGCAGAAAGCAGTGTATCTGGCAACGAGCTTGAAGGGACAACCACTGGAAATACTTGGACAGTTGTCAGCAGACGACTCAAAATCAGTCTGAAGTCTACAGGGCTAGGTTTAGGATGAGAGTCCGTGCTAAAGGGGAGAGCCTGCAAGAGCTGGCACAGGCTTTGGAAAGTATGGCACACAAGGCCTACCCAGCTGCACCACCCGATGTCCTCAAGCTGTTGCTGATGGATCAGTTTGTAGATGCCTTGGACAGTCCACAACTAAAGATACAAGTAAATAAAGCACATCCCTCTATTATGCAGGATGCAATGGCCAGAGCTCTTGAATTCGAATCCCACATTAAGTTCAGCACAGAGGTACCAAGGTTGGTACGGTCATCAGAATTCAAGGCCAAAAAAGGACATATGAGGAACCAGTGTAAGAAAAATACTACCAATAAATCAGCTTCGGGAAACCAGTAGTGGTTGGTGTTGAGGGACGCCCACCAACCCCCATTGTGAAAGTCCCAACAGCTAAATGTAAAATGGCAAGCGCACGTAGTGTCTACGTGTCAGGAAAGCTAGATGGCCAAAATTGCAACTTTGTAATATATTCTGTATCTCAGCAAACCCTTGTGAGTATCAAGATGCTAGATCACAAAGGAGTACCAGAAGTCATACAGAAGCTCTGACACTGAGTTTAAAACAAAAATTCACCGCAAAAACACACACACTGGTCTCTACATTCCCTGGAATTCCGCTCATGACACCACACAAAAAATCAATACACTTAAAAACCTCATAAACACAGCTACAAGACTGTTCAACGGACTACATAAATGAAGAAATTAACCACATAAAGCACTCATTTATTCACTCCAATAAATTCCCACCAGCTATAGTTGAAAATCTCTCCAACATTCCCCACAATAAAACTCAACTCACG